GGGAGAGAGAGGAGAGAGGAGAAGGGGAGAGAGAGAGAGAGAGAGAGAAGGGGGGAGAGAGAGAGAGAGAAGGGGGAGAGAGAGAGAGAGAAGGGGGGAGAGAGAGAGAGAAGGGGGAGAGAGAGAGAGAGAAGGGGGGAGAGAGAGAGAGAGAGAGAGAGAGAGAGAGAGAGAGAGAGGAGAGGAGAGAGAGATGAGAGAGAGAGAGAGAGAGAGAGAGAGAGAAGGGGAGAGAGAGAGAGGAGGGGAGAGGAGAAATAGAAAGAGAGGGGAGGGAAAAAAGAGAGAAAGAGTAGGGAGAGGGGAAAGAAAGAGAGATAGAGGGGTTGGGAGAGAGAGAGGGGAGGGTCAGGAAGGGAGAATGAAGACTGAAGAAAATATTACTTTCTGTCCCCTCTTTACACCTCAGGCTGGCCAGGAGGCATTCAGGTCCATCACCAGGTCATATTACCGAGGAGCTGCTGGTGCGCTTCTTGTTTACGACATCACTCGCCGGGAGACTTTCAACCACCTCACACAGTGGCTGGAGGATGCCCGGCAGCACTCTAATTCCAATATGGTCATTATGCTTATCGGAAACAAGAGGTGAGGGTTGATCCATCTACATTTACATAGATCATATACATGTCATAAATGTATGCATGCATGTATAAATGTGTGTTCTTGCATACATATATAACACTTCAGTCAGAGTTCCTTCCTAACATCTACTTCCTTTTGTATTCCCCCAACTATCATTATGTATTCCTAAAGGGAAAAAAAAGTGCACGCTCATTCCCTTTGTTCACTGAGAAGACATAATCCTACACTAGGATGTCACATGACTGTGGCCTTGTAGAATACTACCTCCCCACCTCTCTGTCCCTTTCTCATCAGCTCAAGCATACTCACTTTCACATGTCTTTGTGAATAGTTTTGTGGGCATCTTTTACTTATTCAGAGCCCTAAAATAGCTCCCTTTTCCTCATCATTGATTTTCTTTTATATATTTTATATTTTATATATTTATATATTTTTTTTTTATATATTATATTTTTTACTCTTTAATAGTTGTTAAATCTTCATTGACCTCTCTTCATCTGCTTAAATCTGCTTTAGATTCTGCTGGAGTAGCTGTTTTGGAGATTGACACAATTTTTATTAAATTAGCAGCCATATTTGTAGTATCCCTGTGACATATCCCTGTGATATACAATTGTATTACATGCAGTCTTTTATAATGTTACAAAATAGTGTCTTTAACTTTAAGGAGCATGTGATATGACCCTAACATATTTTAGAACCCTTTCGAAAGTACAGATGCTTTGGGGTGTGGCTTCCGGGCAAATTTAACATGAGGTGACTAAGTGGGATTTGTATAGGGTTTCGTTTTGGAACTTAACCCGATGGACCTGATTGCATCCCGTAAATCACAGTGCCAAAAACACAGGCAATAGGTTACATAAGTTGCCAGCATCCCGGGCAAGCGACATGTAGGTGAGGTGCACACAAATACCCATGAGCAGTGACAAGACTGTGTGCCTCCCCTTTGCAGAGTTATTTTGTATATTTTTTAGCTTTTACCGTCATTTTCCAATGTCCATATTTGTCTTTTGATTTGCGTTATCCAGATGGTAATTGCTTATTTTCGATATCCATATCCAGACTCCATATCATCTCTATGTAGTAAATAGCTCAATGGAAGAAAAAGAAAAATGTGGACCATTTGGTTATTTGTGTCATATATCTCATTTTTTCGTAATTTTCAATTTTACGTAACACAACCTGCACCTCCGGTCACAGTGGCCAGGAGTCTTTTCTGTCGCCCTGACCTTCCCTCATTTTACCCGATGACAGCATGTTCATGTCACTCACCCCTCAACTCAAGTTTTTCCATGACATGAATGCAATGTCATTCAGGTAATGATAATAATATTCATCATCATAATAATCCCTGTGAGTCTTGTAGTTATCTTTTGATTCATATTTGCACACTGATGACTTGTGTCATACTTCTCAGGGCAACCATTAACCCCTTGAGTCACAGCAATCACATGGACCAAAATATGGGTGTTAGGCTTGTGTAAGCGGCTGCTCTGACAGGTGCATGGCATGTAGGCTAGGTGTGCATGAACATTGTTATTTAGCATAAGCATTTTTGTTTTTGTTTTTGCCATTTTCCAATATCTATATTTGTCTTTTGATTTCCTTTATCCAGATGGTAATAGACTATCTTCCTTGCACAGACTCCATATCATCTCTCAATGCAGTAAATAACTAAGTGCAAGAAAGAAAGAAATATATTTTGTTATTTGTCATAATTTCATTTTTTCTTAATATTCAATTTTCTTTAATACATCTTGCATCGCCAGTCATGGGGCCCAGGAATATGATGCTGAGCATGGAAATGGCATCCTCCCTGGAGCCAGTGCTCTTCCAGTCATGGCTTACAGACATTACATTCCACCCTCATTTATCAATGGGAATAGTGCAAATGCCCCTTTCTAAATGCCAGATGTGCCTAATCACCCTCCAAGAGGTTTGTGCACTCGTGGCAAGCCATTTCTTTCACCATGGCCAGCAGCCATTTTTACCTAGATTAATCTTTTTTTCTTCTTCTTTATTTATTTATTTATTTCTACCCCCTCCCCCCATCATTCTCAAACCTGTGGTTCTCAGTTTTTTAATCTCAACAGGCCTCTCTCATTTTGAAAATGACTGGGTGTTAGGATATTGGTATTAACTAGTATGGCATGCTGTACAGGAGGAGCAAACGATGTAGTTGGTCAAACCCATCTATACTTATATGTGTGATTATCCAGTCTACTGAATCTCAATTTAGAATGATCACTAAACAGAAAAATCATTTAAAAAATTATCTCACAGACCCACTGGCAGCTCTTTGGAACCTTGGTTGAGAAACATACCCTCTGAATAATAAACTGTTTTATAATGACTTTGTGCATGAACATATGCATACTTGTATGACTGCATGCATGTATATGTTTATTTATTTAATTTTTTTTAATAGCTATGATAAATATGTATTGATGAATAAAATACCTCATCTTTTCTTTCTCCTTTTTTTCCCCTCATTTCTGTTCCTTTACCACATATGCCATTATCAGTATCATCCCCTTTCTTATCTCCATCTATAACAACACCTTCTCCCTGGCAGTGACTTAGAGTCACGACGAGAGGTGAAGCGTGAGGAGGGAGAGGCGTTCGCCCGTGAGCACGGCCTTGTCTTCATGGAAACATCAGCCAAGACAGCCGCTAATGTGGAGGAAGCTTTCATTAATACAGCAAGGGAAATTTATGAGAAGATCCAGGAGGGCGTGTTCGATGTTCATAATGAGGTAGGTGAACAGATGTGCTCTGGCAGGGTTTTTTAATAAAGAAATTGTGTGTGTGTAAAGGGGCATTGTCTTTTTTTCTTCAAGCAGTTGCTAATAGAAATAGTTCTGTTCATTTTACATTTATAAGAACCCATTTTAATAGAAATAGTTCTGTTCACTGTACATTTATAAGAACCCATTATAATAGAAATAGTTCTGTTCATTGTACATTTATAAGAACCCATTTTCACACACTCCATACTTTACTCATTGTTCTCTCTCTCTCCCCAAAAGGCCAATGGTATCAAAATCGGACCCCAGCATTCCCCAAGTGGAGCCGGGTTGGCGGGCAACCAGGGAGCTGCAGGAGGCCAGGGAGGAGGATGTTGCTAATCCGTGAGGAGCCCCTCCCCTCCCCTCCTTCACCCCACCCCCTTGGATGACAGTGGGCAGGGGCAAGGACCTGATGTAGAGAAGACTTTTTAAAAAGAAAAAAGGGAGATGTGGGAGTGCCCCCCCTTCCCTCCCTTGGCCCCCCTTTGCCTTGGGCAGGGAGGGGGGAGGTCCCAGGTTCTTTCTTTTCCGACAGCTACTTCAACCCACCAGGAAAGCACGAGCTGGTGTGCTTGGCAGAGAAGGGTCCTGATGGAAACAGAATCAAGCTGAGGTCACTGGTCAGCATCTTCCTTTCCATGTCCACCTTTAAGCAGCAGCCATCAAAACACTCAGCAACTCTGCACTTGAGCCCATCCCTCTCGCTTGCTGCCTTGCCAAAAGGAGGAACTTGGAGAGATTGTACATTTTGTGCAGTGTACATTTGGTGTATATTTTGATTGTGAGAAGATTCTGTGGATGTTGCATTTGTCAGCATACCAAGTCATTTGTTTATTAGCATCTGTAATTGGATTGGATTTTTTTATTAGCACTTTTAGGGCATGGGCAATAGGTATATGTGGAGATAAAAGGAACAGTGAGTGAGTTAAGCAACAGCAAGCACAAACTTGTGCAAGTAAAACATAAGTCAGACCTGCAAGCATTTGGCATCATCAGGTCAAGACAGAAGTAGTTTAATTATAATCTTTATTTTATTTTATTTTTTTCCTTCCTAATTACCAAGAAGATGCCCAGCTTTGTCCAGGCATCTTGCAGCACGTAATATTGTATTTGCATTTTGATTCACCGACACTTCAGTCGGTACCTGGGACAATGGGAAAGAAAAAAACAAGAATAATAATTGATATTTTTTATACTTGCATGTAGACTCCTATATCATTGGTCTGGAATAGTTCTGTATAACTTAATATATAATGACACCTTTATTCTCTAGGTTTTCCATAATGCTGAATCAGTATATATATATATATATATGTAGGAACTGAAAAGGTCTTTGAAGCTGAAGACCATCATGTTTTTAGTACTGATGGTTCCACTTAGAGCTTGGGGGAGTACCTCGTCTTTCGCTCAGATCCTTAGCGTTCTGTGATGTTGTGGGTTAGTCATGCCAGCTTCTGATCGTCGATGCAAGCTGCTCTCTAGAGTAGGGGTACAAGAAAACCATGTATATGTATATATGTGTATATGTACAAGTCCCCATCTCCTTTCCCATTTCACCAAACCCTTTAAGACCTGTACCTTCCCAGCCCCCTACCCTTTGATTCCAAGAATGTGACAAAAGACATGATAGCAGCCCTTCTCAGAACTCAGAACTTTTGCAGAGGTAGTTATCAATCGTCCGCCGGGACACAATTTTACTGAGCTCCCACATTAGCTTTGGGGAACACGAGCTAGCCGTGTCAATCCCCCTGTCTCACTGAACCATCGTGGTGGTGCCAGAAGTCCCTGCCACCCCTACCTAAAACGAGGGTGGCTAGATTGCATAGTCTTGATTATTGTTTAGCACTGATGACCCCCTCAGAAACCCAGCTGAGCATGGAGTACTTACATACCTGCTCTCCCATGGTATCTCTTTGATAATCTCTCTCTTGGATGATAAATACAGCACCACATTGGTTGGGTTAAAGGTATTCTTAATCCATCTAAATCAGCAATTCTCTAACTAGTATAGACTATATATACTTGGATAGATTTAAAAAAAAAAAATCACACCTGTAATACTTTCATTGCAATTAAAGAAAATTGTATTATATCATTCCATACTCCTTGGCAGGAGTTGATGCATGTCAGTAATGAATTGTGTGTTGAAGTGCACTACTATTTCATCAAGCAAAAAGAAAAAAAAGGAAGAGAAAAAGATTTTGTTAAAGAGAGAGAAAAAATAAAGTAGAACAGAATAAAGAAACAGACAAGGAACAGCTTATATTTGATACCCACTTATTAAATAAGTATAATTTGTGCTCAAGAATTTATGTAGAGCTAAGAATGGCATTATCCTGTCTTTATAGTAAATATGGTTAGAATTTTTCACTATTTATTCCTTTCCCTGACCCCATTATTTGACTATGCCTATTTTCTGATAGACAGAGAGAATTAACTGATAACTGGTTATCATGCATTATTTTTCTAGTGGCTAGGAATGAAGGGAAGAAATTTTGAGGTGATTGCTGTCATAGAACTTCTGAATCACAAATTTAAAGATTAACATTTATATTGCAAGTGAACAAATTCATGCTGTCAGTGTTTTGTGTGTGGTAATAAGATAGATTGTGTGCAAGAACAGGGCAGAATTTGTTCATCTCTCTTTAGCAAATTGGTCATTTGCATTTCCTGAGCTCAGTTCATGCATAATATACAAGAAGTCCTTATATAAGTCTGAATTGTGAAGGTCTGTGGTGGAACACATTCCAGAATCTGACCCAGAACTTCAACCAATAGCAAATGGATGAGAAAGGCTATGATCACAATATTTTCACTCCCTTGACTTTAAGTTTCACCAACTTCTCATTTTTCTCCGGTAAAACATTTCAAGGTAGCAGGCAGGAAATGTGACAGTGACAAGTTTTATCATCTGTTGCAACACAAAACTAAGTGTTTTGCTGGAGTTGCGATGGGGTTCTGGTTGTTAATATTGAGTTTGGTTCATGATTAATTTAGTATTATAAATCATTATTATTATTTTTTTTTTTTTTTTTTTTTTTTATTATATTATATTTTTTTTTTTATCGTTTATTCATCTAGAATGTAGAGCAGTGATTTTATTTTCCCTCTTTATGCTGTGTGCTGTAATGATGTTTTCCAATTATCTCCAAATGATCTGTGAACATAGTGTGTGAATCTGTTTTTTTTTGTTGTTGTTGCTATTCTAACAGGTATCTCTAGTAGGGAAAGGCCTTTTTGGTATCTTCAATTGTATCTTGTAAACACTTCTTCCATAAGAAAATATAATTATAAAATTTAAAAAACCAAAGAATGTACTAGAATCAAGTTTCTCTTAATAGAAAAAATATATATGGGAAAGATGATGGTACTCTAGGTCTGTAATGGCAGTTCATTACAGATTTGGGGAAAACTATAAAGGTTTGGTTTTATACAAACACACATACATATATACACACCCTTATATAATGATACTGTATGTGAATATCCATAAAAAAAAAAAAAAAAAAAAAAAAAGCAAATATTTCCTAGTCAGATTTTTATTGTTTTTTACCATCCTGCCATTACAGACAGAAAGAGAAATGCCGGAAGGTAAGAACCCCCCCAACCACACCAGTGATTGTCATAGGTAGATTTGCCAAACAATATAAGGGGTGGGGGGGTTTAGGAGGGATAAGGGAGTGGGGGAGTGAAAACAAAGGAGAGCCTCCTCTTCAAGGTTGCTTAGGGAACACTCATTTTACATGGAAAAAAGAGTAATTCTAACCCCCTTTTCTGGGATTTTTTTTTACCATTATAACAAGAATATTACCATTAGTAATACTGTAATAGCTGTGAAGTTAACATTAATATTAAATATATATTATATATATATATTATATATATATATATATATATATATATATATATATATATATATAAATATATATATTATATTAAGGAAAGTAATTCCTTAAACAAAGATACAGAAAGACACTATGATCATTACAGGTAACCATACTGTCCAGCAAATTTTAAAAGATCTAACAATTGAATTAAAAAAGACCACAACATTGACAGTCTGGCTAGAGGGGCACCTGCTGGCGAGTGTGAAGGAACTCCCAAGCGAGTGTGGCGAGAGCTCTCCCTT